TTCTCACTTGTTCACCTAAGTAATGCATTGTTCTAGGCAGGTGTGGTGACGCTGGCCTCTAATTCCAGCACCCAGGAAGCTGAGGCAGAAGGATGAAGAATTGAAGGCTACATAGTAAAAATGTGTCTCAAAAATAATAAAGAGCTAGTTCTGGGACAGGCACCAAAGCTACAGAGAAACCCTGTCTCGAAAAACCAAAATAATAATAATAATAATAAAAGCTGGAAAGATGGCTTAATGATTACGAGCACTTGTTGCTCCTATAGAGGGCCCAGGTTTGATTCCCAGAACCCACGTGGTAACCCAATGCCCTCTTCTGTCCTCTGTAGGAACAGCACATATGTGGTCAACAGACAGAGATGCAAACAAAACACCCACACATAAAATAAAAATAAGCATTTTTTAATAAGTTTTAAAAACAGAAGCAAGAAGCCGGGTGGTGGTGACACACTCCTTTAATTCAGCACGCAGGAGGCAAAAGCGGATGGATCTCTGTGAACTAGAGGCCATCCTGGCCTACAGAGTGAGTTCTAAGACAGCCAGAGCTATACAGTGAAACCCTGTCTCAAAAAACCAATAATAGGGGCTGGAGAGATGGCTCAGTGGTTAAGAGCATTGCCTGCTCTTCCAAAGGTCCTGAGTTCAATTCCCAGCAACCACATGGTGGCTCACAACCATCTGTAATAAGGTCTGGTGCCCTCCTGGCCTGCAGACATACACACAGACAGAATATTGTATACATAATAAATAAATAAATATTAAAAAAAAATAGGCGATGGTGGCGCACGCTTTTATGTGAGTTCAAGGCCAGCCTGCTCTACAAGAGCTAGTTCCAGGACAAGCTCCAAAGCTAATAATAATAACAAAATAAAAATTTAAAGCACTGTTCCTTGTTTATAACTATAGAGAGCACAGCTGGATCGCTGTGGTGATTAGGAAACGTCCTTACTTTTTTATAGCTGGTGGTAATACAGTGGTCCTCCTAGTGAGGAAGTTGTGTAGGTAAGCAAAAACCATCACATCATGAGAACCCTGGCTTCTCAGAGCACATTTGTTGAGTCAGTTGTTCACAGACTAGCAACATTATAAACAGCTGTCAGTAAAGCACAAATACAGAGCATGTCTGCAACAAGATGTGAGTGGCCTTAAAATGGATCGAGTTGTAGCTCAGGGTTAGAACATTTGCTTTGAATGTGTGAGTCCCTGGGTTCGATCCCCAGTATTGCAGAGAGGGAATCTTAAAGTCTATGAAATAGTGCCGTTCAAAGTTGCTGGGAAAGTTAGACTGGGTAGCATGCAGACTGCACATGTTAGCAAGGATCATGGTCGAATAACTTCAAGTGAGAATGATTTTATTAGGCAGGGATTAATGAGAACCCTGGTAAAGCTGAAGAACTGGCAAGTTAATAATTAGGAAGTTTGGGACTATGGCTCAGTTGGTTGAGTACTTTCCAAGCATTCACTGAATCCTGGGTTCAGTCCTAGCGCAGCATCAACTAGCATTCAGATGGAGGCAGAACTAGAAATTCAAGGTCACCCTTGGTTGCTTAGCAGGTTAAGGCCAGCCTGTGATATAGGAGACCTTGTCACTAAAATTGTTTAAATCAAAGTACTAAGTACATAGTTTTTTTTTTCTTTCGGACTTTGTTGGAGGGGGAGGGGTGTTTTATTTTGTTTCGTTTTGAGACAGGGTTTCTCTGTGTAGCTTTGGAGCCTGTCCTGGAACTCACTCTGTATATCAGGCTGGCCCCAAGCTCACAAAGATCCACCTGCCTCTGCCTCCCTAAGTACTGGAATTAAAGGTGTGCACCACCATTGCCCAGCTTTGTTTTTGTATTTCAAGATGGTCTGGAACCTATGTATCCCAGCTTGAACTGAATTTAGTTTTCCTGCCTCAGGCTCCCAGGTGCTAGATTTACAGGAATATACCACCACACCTGACAGAAAACAGTAACATCACAGGAGAAATGGGGCATTTCCCCTGGACACATTGGATGGAAAACACAGCCTCATGCTGTTCTTCCCACAGTCTGTGACCTTGTTCTGATCTCAAGGAAGGGCTCCACAAACCCAGACTGATGGCTGCCCTGATCAAGGTTTCTATTGCTGGGATAGAACTCTATGACCAATAGCAGCTTGGAGAGGCAAGGGCTCATTTCATTTACACCTCCTATCACAGCCCAGCATCTAGGGGAACTGGGAAGCAGGAACTGGAGCAGAGGCCATGGAGGAGTGCTGCTGCTGCTGCTGCTTACTGACATGTTTCCCCTACCTCAGCTTCCTGCCTGTGTTTCTCTTTGTAACAGCCCTGGCTGTCCTGAACTTGCTCTGTAGACCAGGCTGGCCTCGGATTTACAGATCCACCTGCCTTTGCCTCCTGAGTGCTGGATTAAAGGTGTGCGCCACCATACCCAGCTTGAGCTTGCTTTCTTACAACACCCAGGACCACCTCCAGGGATGGTATCACTCACACTGATCACTCAAGAAAATACCCTACAGACCAATCTTACAGAAACATTTTCTCAATTCAGAGTCCCTCCTCCCCAATGATTCAAGTGTCCAGTTGACTTGCTGGAACAGAGACCATTTTTAACAAATGACCTTTCCCTATCAAAAGTACTGTTCCCAACTAAAGAGCAGCTAAAGCATATGAATATTAAATATAACGTTTGATCCTCAGCAAGATTCTGAATTAGAAAAAGGTGGTATTGGAGGGCTGAGGATCAGCAATAAAGCGCTTGCCTAGCACATGCAAGGCCACGGGTTCAGTCCCAGGACTACAAAAATGAAGGGCACAGCTGGGCAATCTGAAGAGTGTATGTGTTGATAGCCTATTTTGTTGATTACACCAGGTTACAATAGTAAATGTTCTCGATCTTAGGAAATCCATGCTGCATTATTGATCATCCTGTCATTAGATTATTCTCAGAGTAATGAGGAAATTTTACTTGCCCATGCCTATGTTGAGGTTGACTTTAACTTGGTGATTGTTATGTAGAAAGTAAAGAGAACTCATAAACCTGCTCAGCCTGGAACCAAAAGTGCTGTGCAGGACATTTTAAAATACTAGCACTAAATTAAAGTCTCTGTCTCTAGCCCAGGCTGGTCCTTAACTCATGGCTATCCTCCTGCCTTGGCCTCCTAAGACCTGGATTATAGGGTGAGCTACACAGGTGTCTGGGTTCACTTCTGTATAATGCTGGTGATACGTAACTTAGGATGGATTATTCTTGTATGAGAAAAAGTAGTAAATCTTCCCATCACCATTGCCTTACTTTCAGCCTGCTTGTCTGCCTGGTTGGGGGCAGACAAGGGTCTTTTCTGTTGCATACTCTTGTAACTACAGCAGTCTGGGGTTGTGGTGCTAGAGAGTAAACTGAAGAATCCTGCATGCTAGATAAGCACTTTCCACTTAACTGTACCCCAGTCCTTACAATTAGATGTGTCAAAGGGTGCACTGTCGGGCCACAGTACACAGTTGTATAGTGTGTGCATGTTTTAGCACCCTCAGTGAAAGGCACACCCAAATACATACACTAAGTAGTAAAAAAAAATTAATCCACATGAATTTTTCCCCAAGTGGTTATTATAGTTTTTAGTAGAGTTGTTTAAATCAAAGAAACTAAAATACTTTTGATTTTGATTGTATAAAGTTTCTTGGCAATATTGCTCAACAGGTAAGACCATTTCCTGCTCTTCCAGAGAACTGCAGTTCAGTTCCCAGCGCCCCGTTAGGCAGCTCATAGCTGTCTTGAAACACCAGTTCAATCTGATGTTCTCCTCTGGCCTCTGTGGGCACCTGCACACACATGGCATACACACACAATAATATACCTTTTAGAAGCTCTTTTTTCTTTTTTTCCTTTTTTGAGACAGGGTCTATTTAGTAATGACTGCCTTGCCCAGCAACATTTTTTTTTTACATCAGTGTTGAGGCAAGACCACAAACCTTTAAGAACTGGGGTTCCCACGGTAACTCACATGACCTTTTGTCTCCTAGTAGCCAAGCACCAGGCCTTACTTACCAAGTTAGACTTTAACTTTTGTATCCCAAGGAACAAAAAGCAGATGTTTGACTCCTTCCCTCTTACAGAGCACCTACGGAGTTCAGTGATTGATCGGAAAGACTTGATCATCAAACGAATCAAGCCCAAGCCCCAGCAAGGAGATGACATCACTGTGGTGGATGTGGAGAAGCAGATCGAGGCCTTCCGCAGCCGCCTAATCCACATGCTGGGAGAACCTCTAGTCCCCCAGCTCCAAGACAAAGTGCACTTGCTGAAGCTGCTGCTCTTCTATGCTGCGGACTTGAACCCCGACACAGAGCCTGCCCCACAGCACTGAGGCAGCCAGACTTCTAAGCACTGAGTACCAAGAATACCTCCTGATTGTGGCCAGCTACTTAGAAGCTTTTAAGTACGAACAGTAGTTAGGAATATCATAGGACCAAACCTATCATATTTATCAGTAGGCTGTAATAACTTTATAACTCTTCAGTATCTTTTATAATCCTTAGCCTATTCAAATATGGCTTAAATATACAAGGTGTATATATTTTCTATTAAATTATTTATGTATGCTTTTGAAATAGGCAATACAATATGCACTATATGTCCAACATTTCCATTCAAGATGTGAAGACCCCCTTCTGCTGAACAATCTTCATCAGTGTTACATCAGTCAAGGTACTAACAGCCTGTTTCTGGAAAGAGTGTTTCCTGAATACAGCACATTCTAATTAGACTTTTCATATTGCCTATGAATATTACTCTGTGGCCAGTTAATTAAAGCTAATATAAACAAAGCAGGTAAAGAAACAAAATTAGAGCCTGTTAATGAAACATCTGATGTCAAAAGTTATATCAAAAGGCACCAAGTTTACAAAGCCCCGGCTCCACTACTGGGCAGGCAGAATGGACATGAGAGACCTGGGTTTGAGAAAGTAGTAAAGATTTTTATTGTCAATACAAGATAACACAAATAAATTAATTTTTACAACAATCTGAGACTCCAGAGCTTCTCTGTGAGGTTATTATGTAAACAGACTACTATCTAAAATGATCTAGCAAGCAGCTGTGACAGTGTCCAAGACCAGCAGACCTGTGGACAATGAGAAGAGAGAAAAGCAATTTTCTTGCTTCCTCTCCTCAGTAAGATGCGTTACCGAACAGATGAAGCTAACTTGGTGGAAAATAGTAACCAGAATAAGGTGACACCAAATTCAGGTGAACCTGAAGACTATAATCCAATTGTACCTATCATCTCTAACAAAAGTTTTAGCTGGGTGTGGTGGTGAATTCCTTTAATCCCAGCACAGGGAGGCAGGGGCAGTAGATCTTCTGAGTCTAATGAGTGAGTTTCAGCCTAGCCAAGCCTACATAGCGAGACCCTGTCTCATAAAACAAAACACACATAACTAAAAAAAACCTTAAGATCCAGGAACTAGGGTGAAACTAACTTGGTAGAGCAAGACCCTAGGTTCAATCCCTAGTGGGGTGGAGGGGGAAATCAGTATGAAACCAGTAGACTCAGTTCAATTAATTTCATGTTAAAGTGCAAAAGAGGCCATGTGAGACTAGTGTTTGTTCTGTGACACAGCAAGTAAGCAGGCCTTCAACAACAGGGGCCCAGGAGGACAAAGTGTACACCAGACTAATCAAGACAAAGAACTTGTGGTCCTGCCAAGTGTGGTCTCTCAGGCCCACTCACAAGGCTAAAAAGCATGTCAGGAAGCCATGGCTGTCCAGATGAGTTGGTGGGCACCTCTATCATGATTTGTAACTGCCCATGTTGATCAAGGAAAAGGAATCCAGCACACCAGCACTTACTTATCTAGGAGAGCAAGGGTCAAAGTCCTTCCCTAGGATAAATGATTAAAAAAAAGGTGAGGTCACTCAGCACCACTGACATATTCTACCAACCTGAAAGCAGTGCAAAATGGTTTCTCACAAGGACAATCTGCACAATGTCACTCAGGCCTCCAGTTAACTATGTAACTCCTATGTCAGAGCCCAGGGAAAACCGCAGACCCTGGACAGAAAGCATTCTAGAAGCCAGTGGGTGTGAGCACATTCAGGTCACGGGGTCTGAGATTATGGATCCGAGGTGGTTGCTTCTTCCCTTCTACCACTGGGATATCCATCTTAGGCGGCTTGAAGGTTGCTGGATCTTCACCTACTCGTGTGGCTTGGGCACGCATCAGCTCCATAGGAGAGGGTTTCGGGGCACCTTTGTAAGCCTGAATGGCAAAACCTGCTAAGGAAAAGCAAATGATTATAGCCCCTAGCCCATACACCAGCCAGGGCCTCGCTGCTCTTTCTGAAGGAGCTCTTACCAGAGTCAGACCTCTGCAGGGACCGTGGTCCAAAGAGGCTCCACTTGTCTACTGAGTTCTTATCACTTCCATTCCCAGGATCCATGGTTTGAGGATTCGGGCCAGGTAAAGCTGTGGAAGAGCCAGAGGGGAACCAGCCTCTGGAACGGAGAAGTAAATATGTAATTCTGAATGTCCTTTTCCTATATCATGAGAAGTGTCTTCCACAGGCTGGAGGCCAGTACCGCCTCAGCACTGGCTTCCCTAAAGGAAGGACTCACCTGGATTTCTGCTTAGGGGAGGAGTGAGGGGTGCTGCTCGGGGTGGACTGGGTCGATGCAGGCTGCTTCTCGTCCTTTGTTGTCTCTCCACTCTGCAGCTTTAGTTTCTGTTCAGATGGTGAGAAGAGACTTTCAGAGGAGAGCAGACACAGAGCCACACAGTCAGTGTATGCACTCCGATGCACATCCTAACTTCAGGCAGGAGAGATTCTGTCTTTCCCACACCGTATTGACTTTGTTTCTATGGAACTGTGCTCCACAGCACCTTACACTCATGCTACAAGCTGTGCACTACCACTTACGTGTCCAAAAAAGCCAAGTCATTTAAGGGAAGAGATGCCCTTAGGTCTGGCCTTCAATTCTGCTCCTGTACTTCAGTATAACCCCCGCACTGCTCAGACCTTCAAAGCTAAGACTCGGATTTGCTGTCTGTCCTCTGTAGTGAAATGCTAAGAAACCTACCTCATTCTCCTTCCTCTCCCATAACCAACCACCACACCATTGTTAAAATAGTGCCAGTACACTAGCTGGGAGAGTCAGGGCTCTATGTCTAAGTTGAAGCTCCATAGTAGTATGTCTGTCCTCCATGAGGGCTATGCCTCTGCTGGACCTAAGCTCACTTTCTCAACACATCAATCTGTGTAAGTTGGCAAGATGAATGGTAAAAACTGAACACTCCCCAAGAAGCATCAGTCCTGTCTAAGCTCAGATGGACACCAGTTCAAGACTGACTTCTCACAGCAGTGGCTTTTAAACTTAGCCTGTAGATTCATCAGAATGCTCATTCCACAATGCAGCCCATTCACTCACCACATAGCTCCCCTGTCCCCACACACACACTGTGTGCCATCTCCTGATGCTTTTTATGTTCTCCCTATGCCCACAGGAACTTGCCATGGCTACTTCGGTTTTGTTTTGTGCTTTGTTTTCTTCCAGACAGGTTTCTCTGAGTAGCCCTGGCTGTCCTCAAACTCAGAGATCTGTCTGCCTCTGCCTCCTGAGTTCTGGGATTAAAGGCGTATGCCACCATCACCCAGCTTTTTCTTTAAAATAAATAAATAAAAGCATATATATAGTTTTTTCGTTTCTTTGGGTTTTTTGTTTTGTTTTGGTTTTGGTTTTTTGTATAGGGTTTCTCTGTATAACAGCCCAATAGCCCAAGCTGATCTGGAACTCCCTTTGTAGATCGGGCTGGCCTCAAACTCAAAGATCTGCTTGCCTGCCTCTCTCTCCTGAATGCTGGAATTAAAGGCATGCGCGACTACTGCCCTGCTTTCTTTCTTTCTTTCCTTACTTATTTTTATGTGCATGAGTGCCTGCATGCGTGTATATGAACTGTGGGAGAGAAGGTGTGCACACGGTAGGAGTGCATATGGAGATCAACTTGTGTCACTATTCAAAAGCCACCTACCTCGTTGGTTTGGGTTATTTTGAGACAGGGTCCCACTATGTAAGCTCTGGCTGTCTTGGAACTCGCTATGTAAACCAGGCTTGAATTCACAGAGGCCTGCCTACATCTGCCTCCAAGTGCTGGGAGTAAAACCATGCACACTGTCTGGCACCACTGTGTTCTTTGAGATATCTTTCACTGCAATCTGGAGCTGAGTAGAGTAGGCTGGCCAGCAAACTCCAGGAATACACCTATCTTTATCTCCCTAGCACTGAGGCAGCCAGCATGGATCATCCATCATATCCAGCTTTACACATGGTTTCTAGGGATTGATCCTCATGCTTCATAGCAAGCACCTTACTGACTGATTTCTCTCTCCAGTATCTTCTTTATTTACAAAACAGAATGTAGTATCTACCTCCAAGGATCAATGTCAAGATGATGTGAATGCATAAGTCACAGAACACCATTCAGTACGAAGAGACCTCTCTAAAGACAAGGTATCTGCAGGAGCGCACCTTAGCAGGGCAGTCCTGGTCCCTTTGCCCATTATCTTGTCACTCTGAGTTGCCAAACAGCTGAACTGTAAACTTCTCAACCATAGCCACATTTCAAGCCATGAACAACACTGGTTGCTTACATGGAGTGCTTCTGCCACTCGGAGGTACTTGGTCTCCTCAGTGGTGAGGCCCTTGTGGGGTGTGTAGCCAGCATCTCTCAGTCCTGCTTGTTGCTCAAAACGCTGGATGCTCTCCTGGGTCTGTTCTGAAAAGAGACAACAGTCACGCTCAGCTCCTAACCAGGACAACAGTACTCTCTGCTGTTCTTCCCAGAAGAGGCCACACTGCCTCGTGAGAGTAAGGGTGTCCCCAGACAGGCCCTGGCACGGCAATTCTGACCCTCAGGTGCAGCCTTCCCTCACAGCATACTAAAAAGCAAGCTGCCCGACAGGGATGCTGGATGCCTCACCTCCTCTCACTTAGACTCCATAACACCCTCGCATTCAGCAACAGGCCAGGAGGCCCTAGCATCCAGACACAGTAAGAATTCCCAAATCACTAAGCTCCTAAGAGACTTAGCACTTGCAGATTTGTCAAAGAGAAGCAGGTCACATTCCTGCCAGCTGTCCCCAAGGTACCAGTCAGATTCACAGCACAACCACCTGCCTTAAACTAGCCAAGGTCTACAGACCCCACATTTCTTACGCATGATCTGCCTGTTGCTGTTCCTGCCCTAGCTAACTATGTTCTTTTAGCTTGGTTTATTATTTGTTATTTCACAAGTCACTCACTATGGAATAAACAAGAAGAGATGTTTTTTCTTTTTTGTTTGTGTGTGTTTAAGACAGATTTTTTTCTTAAGGTACAAAGTTTTCACACTAAACACGAGCATGGCAGCTGTAAACAGTCCCCACACCAACAGACTTTGGGATCTACACACTCCACTTCCTTTTTATGTAACAGGTGTGCTGCCTGCAAGTATATCTGTGTACCATGAGCATGTCTGCTAGCCTCGGAAGCCACAACAGCTGTGCCCTCCTAACGCCAGAACGGTCAAGCTACAGAACACAAGTAGTAGCTGCTTTTCCGGTGGTGCGATCACAGAGAAACAAAGGGGGTCTGGACTCTGACTTTCTGAGTCAACTTTCCAGAAGTGACCAAGACACACTGATCCCCTCCTGGAGAGGAAAATACAGGCCAACCAAGGACAAGTTCTGTGCACCTCAGCCCTGGGGCGGGTATTACTGCTGACATGCAGAGCCATGCACTGAATAATTAACTCCCCACACCAACGACAGCCCTTGAGAAGGAAGAAGCTTAGGCAATTGTGACAGAAGTTTAAAAAGAGGAGCTGGAGAGAGGGCTCAGTGGTTAAAAAGCATTTACTCTTCCAGAGGACCCGAGCTCAGATCTCAGCACCCATACTGGGTGGCTCACAACTGTAACCCTAGCTCTAGAGGATCTGATGTTGCCTTCTGGCCTCCTCACACCTCCACTCTCACACACACATACTATATACATAAATTTAAAAAATGTAAAAAAAAAAAAAAAAAAAAGCTTAAAAAGATAAAAAGCTCTCATTAAGCCTCATTAGGACCATCAATAACACATTCTAAAAATTAAAGAAACTGAGGCGCCAAACCTGGTCTCCCTCCTGGTGGACCATCATGTTCAAGGCCTTGATCAGCATTATCAAAATTTGTTTGTGAAAATATAAATTATTTTTAAATGCATATGTAAATTTTTTTTTGTTTGTTTGTTTTGTTTTTCGAGACAGGGTTTCTCTGTGGCTTTGGAGCCTGTCCTGGAACTAGGCTGGTCTCGAACTCAAGTAGCTGGGTACAGTAGTATATGAGCAATACTAGCCATAAGAACTCTGAGGCACGAGCACTGCTTTGAGTTTAAAGCCAGTGAGAACACACAGCAAGATTCTGTCTCAAAACCAAATAAACGTGTATAGCAGTGCAAGGCCAGAGGGCTGTCCTCCAGTGTGGCACCTTCTCTAGCAACACACCCAGGCCAGTAACAGCAGTGGATCCAAAGCTCCTGCTAATGAACTATTCAACCTTAACATCGACCTGCCAGCTAGATTCCCTATTTCAGAAAGTGGGGTGTCATATCTAGTAAAGTGACCATACTGGTCAGTCCAGGAAAATGAGGCTGTATCAAGCAACAGCAGGACTCTACTGAAGCCAATGAGATGCTTAACAGGCAGAAATCTTCCTCCTCGATGAGGTTCAGCAGCCAGACGAATGTGGGGCCCCACGAAAGCAGGTCTGAGAACCAGCTGCAGCTGAGGCGCAAGCACTCCCTCCCTCAGTTCCTCTGCTGAGACCCAAGGGCGCTTACTTGTGATCAGGGAATTCATGATGATATGGGTAGCTTTGGCCTTCACCACAGGGGCCTTGTCTGAACTGTCAGTGGCTGTTGATGGAGTCACAGCAAGGGAAGAGACACTGACCGCTCCTTCCTCTGTCTGTTCAAGAAAGGTAAGGAGGCACATGAGCAGGAGTCACACCTAAACTACTTCTTTTCTGTCTTTCCTTTTTTTTTTTTTTTTTTTTTTTTTTTTTTGTTTTTCAAGACAGGGTTTTTCAGTTTAGCCCAGACTCACTCTGAAGACCAGGCTGGCCTCGAGCTCACAGAGATCTGCCTGCCTCTGCCTCCCAAGTGCTGGGATTAAAGGCGTGTGCCACCACCGCCCAGCCTAAACTTACTTCTTAAGAGAAGAGTTACAAGAATATGTAACCTGTAAGAGAAGAAAGATTTGAAGCCTCTACTAGTCCAGTGACAACAGGAAAAGACCTTAGGGGAAGAGCCTGGAATCACACAAGGAGAGGCAGAATTTGGAGCCCTGAGACCTAACTTTCCAGACTGTCTGCCCATAAGACTACAGATGCAACATTGGTCTTGTGGTACACACATGTAATCCCAGGGCTAGAGGGGCTGAGGCAGGAGGCCTGGTGTGGGTTCAACTCTAGTCTGGGCTACACAGTGAGGTCAAGGCAAGGATGGAATACCTACCAAAACAGAGGGAAAATTAATGAGGGACGGAGGAAAGAAAGGACAAACAGGGAGAACAGAAACAAAATAGAAGAGACACTTCTTACAAAGCACTGACCATATGCCAAACACTGAGCCTTATTCAGCCTGAGCAGAATATTCCCTCAGGCTTGACCACGCATCAGTCACCTGAGTACTGGCTAAATACATTTCAGGCTACTTGGCAGGTCTAGGCTGTCAGGTGAGACACAAGGGCTCCATCTCCAGGACCATATAAACAAAGTATGGTGACACCCTTCTGTAGTCCCAGCACTCTGAAGGTTAAAGACTGCCATGAGTTCAAAGCCAACCTGGACTACAGAGTGAAACCCTGTATCAAAAGAAAAAGGAATTTGTCTCTAGCCTACCATGTCTGACACCCTGGGTTCTAAAACAAGATTTTTAAGTAAAAATTAGATTTCTAACAAATTCCCAAGTGTGATGGTTAGTGTGAACAATGTTAACTTGACAGAAGCTAACACCACCAAGAGAGAGGCCTTTGGGCACACCTAGGAAGAATCATCTAGATGAGCATTAGCCTTTGTGAGTGTCTGTGAGAGGTTATCTTGATTCTCTTAATTGATGTGGGAAGACCAATCTTTATTAGAGATGGCACCATTCCCTGGGCAGGGGTTCCTGGGCTAGATAAGCTGGGGAAACGAACAGAGCATCAGCATACATTCCCTGTCTATCCCCTGACTCTGAATGAGATGTGGCTCACTCCTTCAAGCTCCTCCACCTTCCCTTGCCCACAGGATGAACCATACTTGAACTGGGAGCTTTATGAGCCCTTCTCCCTGAATCTGCTTCTGCCAGAACATTTTATCAGAGCAACAGGAAAAGAGGCTGGGCCAGAGTACTGCCACCAGACCACTGCACAGAGGCTCACACAATAGTCTCCCTTGCACACCCCCAGGCTGAGGGCTGACCCTCAGCAAGCACTCTACCACCGAGTACATCCTTGCCTATTTTTTAACATCTATTTTGAGACAAGACCTCATTAAGTTGCCTGGACTTGCCTTGAATTTACTGTGTAGCCCAAGCAGACAATCCTCCTGCAACAGCCTTGGAAACAGCTACAGTTTGTTTTTGTGTAGATTTTTATTGGAGTTGTTACCTGAGGTCTTTGCTTTGGGTGGGGACCATGGTATGGAGCTTGTCTGTACATAAGTTGCCACCGTTGTTACGACTGTATTTTCGTTTGGGGTTTTTGTTTTTCAAGACAGGGTTTCTCAGTGTAGCCCTGGCTATCTTGGAACTCTCTCTGTAGACCAGACTGGCCTCAAACTCACAGAGATTCACCTGACTCAGTGTGCTGGGATTAAAGGTGTGTGCCAGCACCACCCGGTTGGCTTCATAGTCTTTAGAACATTTTCTCTTCAACAGCCACCTGGATCAGATTCCCGCAGACAACTGATACTACAGAGCTCTCCACAGAGCAGTGGGGGATGCTTCTTAGAAAGAAGTACCTGGCCGGGAGATGGTGGCGCACGCCTTTAATCCCAGCACTCAGGAGGCAGAGGCAGGCGGATCTCTGTGAGTTCGAGACCAGCCTGGTCTACAGAGCTAGTTCCAGGACAGGCTCCAAAGCCACAGAGAAACCCTGTCTCGAAAAACTAAAAAAAAAAAAAAAAAAAGAAAGAAAGAAAGAAAGAAGTCCCTGTTCTGCAAGTGTAACAAGGGAAACAGAAAAGGAAAAGCAACAGTACAGCAGGCGTTCAAGAGACTGTGCTTATGGCAATCACAAAACCAAGTTTTAGAGCCGGGTGGTGGTGGAGGTGGCGCACACCTTTAATCCCAGCACTCCAGAGGCAGAGGCAGACGGATCTCTGTGAGTTCGAGGGCAGCCTGGTCTACAAGAGCTAGTTCCAGGACAGGTCCCAAAGCTACAGAGAAACCCTGTCTCGAAAAACCAAAAACAAAACAAAAGATTTTAAAGGATTTTTTTGGACTCTGCCAAACCTTCAGCTTAATGCAGCAATAAAATACAGGCTGAGCATCACTATCCAATACCCTAATCACTCAAAGTGCCCCAAAGTCTGAAGCCTTTAGAATGCTGCGATAACACAAGAGGAAGTAAAACATCCCGCAGTGTAAAACTTCATTTTGTACATAAAAAATGACTACCTAAGAGTAATCAGGCTATGAGTGGAAAGTGTATACAACATAAATTAAGCATATATAGATTCGGGTCCTATTTCCCCACTAGCTCATTGTATGTAGGCAAATATTCCAATAATGCTCTGGCTAGATAACAGAGAAGCTCCAAAGAGGTAAGCAGAATTCACCAGAACTCAGGTATTCAAAGGTTCTGGAGTTGGCTTTTTAGTTGGGGAAGCAGAGTCCAGAAGACTCTCATGCAGACGATACTACATTCAAGTTTTGAATTTTTAAAAAAGCATGAAGCGTAAAAGATCCACAAAGGGAACAACTGCTGCCCGACCTTGTGGGGACAGAGACTCACTGAAGGCTTCCACAGCAGGAGAACAAAGGGGTGAGTTCAGAAGTCGTCAGCAGGGTAAGGTACCTTGTCAAGATGCTGATACTTGCGCTCTGGAATCACTGGCTTCCAGGGGATGCTGCCCATGTCCGATGGAGGAGGAGTCATGGGCGCAGGGTCCTCTAGGGCATCATCATAGCTGAATGCCCGGCGGCACACCCCGATGGGCAGGGACATCTTGCCTAGAGGCCCACTGGACGCAAGAGCTAAGAACAGAGACACCTGTCAATATGGGATATCAACTCAACATACTAGTGGATTTAAGAAAATCTGTAGACAGCCGGGCGGTGGTGGCGCACGCCTTTAATCCCAGCACTCGGGAGGCAGAGGCAGGAGGATCTCTGTGAGTTCGAGACCAGCCTGGTCTACAGAGCTAGTTCCAGGACAGGCTCCAAAGCCACAGAGAAACCCTGTCTCGAAAAACCAAA